CGGAGCGGGGCGGTAGAAGGATTTCGAGAGAAAATTTGCCCTCAATGCAGGTGGGCTTCTTCCAAATGCCATCAAGTTTGTCGGCTTCGCTAAAATACCCTTATAAAATGAGTACAATACGTTATAATGCTATTTTGAGATTTAAGTCCACTTTTAATATTTTTCACCCAAAATTTTAGCCTGAACTGACCATTTTGCCCCTGAGCTCATTGACCCCTGCCCTCTCATCTCTCCCCCTCTCGTTCTCTCGCTCGCGGGAAAGCCAGAGCGTCGTCGACCCCCGCCCCCACCCCCGCGCCGCGCCCCCAGGCCGAGCCTCACCGCCGTCATCCGCCCCCAAGACGGCTCCCTGTCCCAGGCGAAGGTGGCCCCAGCCAAGGCGCGGGGAGCAGCGTGATGCTGTGGGTGGCGCGCTTATCTGGCTTCTTATCTGTCGCATGGTGATGTTGGTGCTGTCGTCGTCGCTCTAGTCCTTCCCGCCCACCGAGGCCATCCGGTCGTTGTAGTTCGACGGCAGTGTCCGCTTCTCGAGCTAGATCGTAGGGTCTCTTCTCGTCTAGTCTCTATGTCTCTCCCGGCAGGGCGATCTCCCGGGCGGGAGCACGACCACGGGGCGCTCCTCCCAAGGTGCGTTTGCGAACCCGCGCAGAACGCCCGCTCGAGCCGTGCCTGCAGCAGAAGGCAGCGCCTTGCCCCGCATCCCTCGGCGTCTGGCCGAGGGCGCGGGCCACATAAACGACGTGCTGCTGGCACAACATGGGGGGCGTATAGGCGGTGGGAGCTGCGGAAGGTGATGGCAAGCAGTGCCGAGGAGGGCCAGTAGTCATGGCGTCCGCGTTGGAGGATGGCCATGACTAACTCGCCGGAGTAGTCGCCGCGGGGGACGATGCGGTTCAGTCACGACTCACGATGGGGCGGCGCGCCTGGAGAGGAGCGGCCCGGGACGGCGGGCGCCGACGTCCTGCTCTCGCCCGGGAGATATCCCCCGCCGGGGGAGAGAGAGAGAGAGAGAGATGGCTTACCGTCCGTGAGGAGAAGAGAGAACGAGGAGTAACGGAGGCAGGGGTAAAATGGTCAGAGCATGCGAAAATTTGGGCTGAAAAAATTTCAAGGTGATCTAAATTCAGGAAATAGCAAAATAACGTGAAGCACCTATTTCGTAAGGGATCCTGGCTCAGCCCACCATTTGAACGAAACCCGCTGGCTATATGGGCAAAATTCTAATTTTCTCGGATTTCGATGGGCGCTGATGGAAGAGTCGAGAGGGGCCGCGAGGCCGGGGAGGCTAAATTAAAAGGGTCAAAATTCAAATTGAAAAATAACAAAAACACCCGGACTTGAGCAGTTGCAGTTCAACCCCTGCTTTTTCTTCTGCCTTGCAAGTTGCACCGCGTGCGCTCTCCCTGTCTCCCTCTCGCGTGCGGCAGCTAGGCAAACCGCCGGCGTCCTAGCTAGGTGCCCAGGCCTTCGTCGGTCCCTTCAGCAGGCCATCGTCGCGTCCTTCATCGGGGACTAGCACACGCACCCACAAGGTATGCGGATCCTTACTCTTCCATTCCTGCTGTGCGAAACCGAGAACCCGAACCCTAACTTGAGCTATTTGCCTAATTGTATCCGGATCTGATCAAATTACAAGCCTATGCATGTACACTAGCTTCGATTTTTTGCAAAAATTATTGGGTTGTACAATCATGTCCCTTACTGGGTCCGCCCCTGATCGAAGCCAGTAGCATCTTTTGTTCCTTTTATTAAAAGTCTTCTCTAATCTGTACTGCCTCCTGATGGTGATGATAATACTGCTGTTGTTGCTGGTGATGATAATCCAGATGGCCGCGCCGAACGGTCCTGCTGCTTCTCCGATGGTGTACCCTGTCTACCTTACCGGAGCATTCCCCCAACAACCCGGGGATGATCAGGCTCAAGGTCCAGGGATATATGCCATACAACAGAACCAGTTAGCGGCGGTGATGGGAATGGGGTGCTTTGCTCCAACCACACTCGTTCCCCTCACTTACAAGATCCCAACGTAAGTTATTATTACCTTTCGGTACTGAACAATCTGCTACATCTGCCTATTTTGTACCATCATTGAATTGCTGAGATCTGCTCGCATGCCATTGCAGTAGTCATCATAAGTCACTAGATGCAAGTGATATATGCAGTCATAGAATTGTGCTGTTGAAAACCTTGGGCACATTTGGGTGGCCGTACGGAACTAGTGTGATCAGGGGTTCATATAGTAGATATGTTGAGGTCCAGGTGCTTTTTTCGTCGGGCCTTGGTGGAAATTTTCTGAGTAAAAGCATGCTCAGCAGCAGCAGTATACAGACGATATCCTTAGATCTTCATTTGAATTATACTTTATACACACCTTTTAGGATATGTTATGAGCTAGCGGCAATCTCGGGTATCTAAAAAACAGTGAATCAACTTTCACTATTGTAGCTGTTTCCATGAATTATTTGACATGCACCTAATCTACTCATGAAGGAACGTTCATTACTGATTAACTCAGCAACTCAATATTTAGAAAAAAAAAACCTCTTGCTATTGTATTAGGTGGTCAAAATCAATCTGAATAACTTCAGCTCTCTCTCTTATTTATCTAGGGATGTTGTAACTTGTAGAACAGGAGCAAGGCAGAACAGAACATATAATGATGTTTACTTCAGTCCTGAAATAATAATACAATTTCCATCATTATGACAGCAGGGACTTGCTATAACTGACTAGTTAGTAATGACTAATTTGATTGAGAATATCACAACACAAACACCTTTAACTTTTACTTGAATGTTGCCCAAGTGCTGTTTTGATGCTGCCATGCTGGAAGATAGAATGGAACTACAGCTAACATGTAAAACTTGGTTACAGATTTTGAGCAGTTTGAAAAAGAAACAACTTTTGTTGCAAGAATGATGAAGCCAAATGTAGTTTGCTACTATGGGCTATGGCATTCAATTTTATTCTGGTTTGGTCTGGGGAAGGGCGGGCCTGGTGCAAGCGGTAGATTCTTACCGCCTGTGACCGGAAGGTCCCGGGTTCGAGTCGCGGTCTCCTCGCATTGAACGGGCGAGGGTAAGGCTTGCCACTGACACCCTTCCCCAGACCCCGCACAGAGCGGGAGCTCTCTGCACTGGGTACGCCCTTTTTTGGTCATTGGGGAGTGGGGATACTTGGGACCAGTTCAAAGCATTATGAAGTTTTGAACTGTCCAATTGCTTGCTTATATCTGCTCTTTTGTGCTTGAAGGGAAAGCGTCGGTGGTCCTGCTGGTGAAGAGAATATACAGGATGCTAGGCAGCAAAATGGACCTCAAAGACAAGTTGTTGTGAGGAGGTTTCACTTTGCTTTTCAGCTTGACTTGGCCCTGATCATCAAACTAGCCGCAGTGGTGTTTCTCTTTAGCCAGGAAGGCTCGAAACAAAGGCTGTTTCTTCTCATACTGTTTGCCTCATTGATTTACTTGTGAGTACTTTGCTCAAATCATCTCCAAAATACTTAATGCTATTTCACAGTTTACTCTTCATTACTTGTATAGCCTATATATGGTGCTGCTAGATAACCTCGTGGTTCTGTATCCTGCAGATATCAAACCGGAGCTATTACACCTTTTGTAAGATGGCTTCAGCGGGCGGGAGGTGCAGCTGCTCGTCCACCACAGGCTCCTGCTCGGGTCGAGAACCGTGCTCCTCTGCCTGCCCAGAATGATGGCAATGAGCAGCCCAATGGTAGCTTCCATATACTGCTCTGTGTTTTGTTTGTGCTCTATGCATGATTGTTCATCATATTGCAACACCAATTTCACTTTTTAGTATATTATAATCTCACCATAATATTGTAACCTTCCTTTTCACTACCATCTGCTCTTCAATGGGAGGTTCATATAAACAGCAGTAGCCCTTGCTTGAAAATAAATTGTAAATGGCCACGATTAGCACCAACTAATGAGACATGTTATAGCTGTCTAATGTCTCATGTTGATTCCTGTTTTGATGGACTGGTGTTTCATGCTTTAACAGTCAGGTTTTTTGCTTTTGATTTGACTGCAAGTACCAATAATGATTCATATTTCTCTTTTTCTAAGGAAGTGTTAATGCATGAGTTTGCTAGTATCTAATGACTAATCGCTTCTGCTGTTGTGGAAAATCTTGCAGGGCCTGCAAACCCTGACCAAGCTGCTGAGAACCATGAACAAGATGCTGTAGCTGGTAATGAGAATCCGCAAGAGGCAGAGGTAGAAGGAAATCAGCGCAATTGGCTTGGAGGTGTCTTGAAAGAGGTCCAGCTGGTTGTTGTAGGGTTTGTTGCATCGCTTCTTCCTGGTTTTCAGCACAATGACTAGGCCTCATCTCGTCACTGTGGAAAGCAGTGATATAGTTATGGTGATATAGGGGAAATAATTATATGAAGCGGCCGAAAGATTTCTGTTTATGCAACTGAATGCATCTTTGCTGTTAATATTGTTTTGTTTCATGTTCAAAGACTTCTTGAACCAATCCCGTCCTGCTTCCAGCAATACTCGCAGCTCACATGTAACGAGTAGCTGACACCCCATCAAATGAACTATTATTTCGTCGCAGAAATATGGGATGCTTGCACCTGAATACAGTATCAGTCCCTGTTGTAAAATGTCTGAAATATGAAGGATGGGAAAGTTTTTTCAGTACTGAATCCTTGATCAATAATGTGTGAGTCACATCCAGAAGGATGCTCCTTTTGTACTTAAGAGTGCCAGCAGAGCAGAAAATTCATGTCAGTGAAATACAGCAATTAATATTTTTCTTGGTTGATTTTGTCGATCTTCCTCAGTTGCTCGTCGATGAACCAACTCAGTATAAGTGCGAAAACAAACATTCAGCACAAAGAACTGCATCTATTTCTTTTGCTCTAAGGATAGTGATATGCTCTGAAAGTCTTTAGTATTACATCATAATTTGATTAAAAAAATCTCTATTCTCTATGCTCATTTTTTTCGCACTTCCAAGAGGAACTAAATCTTATGACATGCATGATCTCAGCCATTCTCTTGGCAGAATGTTCAGGTGTGCCGTTCTTTTTTGCAGAACTTTAGTTGCAGTTAGCTTATATTCCTTGGTAAAAGCTGCACGAGGTCTTTCTTGCTTACAGCTTGAAGCACGCAGCCGCTCATAGCCGCCCAGCAACCAGTAAAGCACCCAGCAGAATTTCATCTTGTTTACAGTGTCCATGCTGTGTGCTGGAAGCTGACAATCATCAATCAACGAACCTATTAAATGAACCATTTTGAGCAATTTGGGGTTCTATATGACTGTAAAGTACAATGAGTCCTTGAACATTATACCTGTAAATTCATGCATGCAGACTCTTCCATTTCCCAAGTCCTACAAACAGCAGCGAACGATGATGATAGCGCATAGCCTAATGGTGATACTTCTGTCCTTTTATTATAGTCCATGCCCTGCAAATTAATGCAATACCTGATGAGTGACCGCTCACAATTAATGCAATACCTAATGGTAGTGTTACATTGTGCCTATCTCACACCATACAGCGATACAGGGGTATGCTACACAGAATGTCAAGGGCGTCGAACCCTCGACACGCAGGGCCTCGGCTACGAAGCTCGTAGCCCTCGGCCGTCTTCTCCGGTGAGGTTATGCCCCTCTACCGCAGGCTTGAGATTAGATGGAAGATAGGATAATAATCTTGCTTAATTCCTTCAAGTCCGGTTCCCATACATATATAGCCTTGCGGCTGCCACAAAAGAAAAACAAACTCCTAATCTTAAGGTAACAAATAGATGCTAATAATAAGGGAACTAATCCTGATAACTTTCCAACTAAGGCCTCCTAGCCATGACCTGGCTGATCGGCCACAGCAGGCGCGTTCTGCGCCTGGGACGCGCGCTGGGCCGCCCTGCGTATGTCGCGGGCGCGCCTGCGCCGGCCATACACCTGCCCACACATGACACAGAAACTGTGTTCAAGTGCAGAAATAGCATCATCAGATAGACTAATTGCTTACCTGTAGAGCTGCTCCATTAGAACTATCAAAGCAACTTGATGGTTCAAAACTAGTGAGGACAGCCTAATTGTTGCATCCGCACGCTCTCGCACTTGTACCCCAAGACCATATGGTCCACCAATACAAAATGTGAGCCTTGATGATCCCTACAAGATATGAGACATTATTGACACCTTATAGACTTCTTCTCATTCCTAGGATTTTTCAAGAGTCCAAACTTCAACTAGAAAATTGAGATCACACAAGTTATGATCACAATAATCAATGATTAAAGAATAGCTCAGCTAGGATGGACCAAGTTGCAGAACATACTGTGTTGCCAGCATCCCCAATCAGATCAGCTATCTGTTCGGATATGGCATCCTTCCCATTTTCATCCAACACAACCACCTGCCATACATGGAAATATCAGGAGACAAAAGCGACTGATAAATCATTGAGTTATGCAAGGAGAAAGGACAGAAGTCATAACAGAGCACATATGAGCCAGGGCAAGAAGGAACTGAAACATACAAAATCATCAGACTTGAGTTGCTGCATCATAGCCGCGTCTTCTGCTTCAACTTGCACCTTTACATCACTGAAAAAAGCATCAGAAAACAATACCGATGGAGGACGAACTGGTATTTAATGGTACCAGTTCTGACTTCTCTTTTTAGGTTTTGTGATAATCATCAGTCACAAGCTACTCTAACAATATCAGGAAAATAGCACCATACACAAAAAGATAGTACGTTAATATGTTGTATGCTGATGCCGCACATATTGATATGCACACTGCAGTGAATCGCCTGTATTGATTTATCGTCTACCGCCTTCAAAGTTGGAGGATCACTTAACGGAGTATACCTTGTAAGTTTTGGGTTAGACCTGATAAGTGTGTCCTCGAAATCGCAATAGTAACCGAGCTTCTCCTTGTATTCTTCAACAAGGAGTTGTGTCCCCGAGACCTCTTCTTTCCAACCGTTAACAAACGCATGGGCATTGCTTTCTGCAAACATGGAAATACAGACATCAGAATCACAAACTTGAAAGAAAAAAACATTTGGCCATTATAAGGCTACACCAATTAGAACTGAAGTACAAGCTATTCACTTCACAAGACATCTTTTTGCAAGCTTTTGCTTTATATCCATAAAATGCAGACTACTTTTTTTGTGAGGAGAAATGAGGTCAATGCGTGCGCACTCCTTACCATAGATTGTCCCGAGTATTTGGATCTCTTGCCTGCACGGAGGAAAAGTAGGAATTATCAATGTTAGAGATCGGAATCCTCGGCGAGTTAGAAGGATATTCAAGAACTGAACAGTGGAAAAGGCAAAGGTAACTCACATACAGAGAAAATACCAAAGAGCTAAGAATTCGAGAGGCAGCAAGAAGAAATGGAGGCATACTGAGGGGGAGTGGTTGGAAGGCTTACCAAGAGGTGAAGGGGCGGACGCGGACGCGCTTCGACTCTTGCTGAAGGATTGCTTGGGCCCGCATATGCACCGCCACGGAAAGACTCCCACTCCCATCGCGGAGACGGAAGGGAGGGGGACTGGCAGAGTCACTGGAGGTCGCGGGGCGCATCCGCTGGCGTCTCGACACCGTCTCAGTGCGGAAGATGAGCGAGCGAGCGACCTATCCGCAAAGGGGCGCGTCTGATCGAGAGACGTATTTCTTACGCTTAAAGTGCACAACCACTATCAGAATACGTACTGAAACTGGAGAGCATAAAATTTGTAACGGCTTGTTAGGCTGCCAACGAATCTCGTGCAACCTTGTCCAACACTACGCTGACATGCCTGCAACCTTCCAAGTCCAGCACTACGCTGATATGCTGTAAGCGTCAGACCTCGTCTGGACTCTCTGGAGGCTGGAGTAGTGGATCCTATATTCCTATGATCCGACACGAGCTGATGCTTCCTGCAAATTCGTAGTATAGAATAGAATTAGGATTTCTGTGTTCCAAGCGTGCCATAATATTTATTTGGTTAATCACACTGTTGTATCAGAATCCAAAACATCATCTTACAACACTAATGAATGCTGCATGCATTATCGACTGTCGTCCACAAACTACGCAACAACGTTCATCAGGTTGAATCCTGAATTTTACATGTAAAAAATCCTGAATACAATATTGTACAAACGACCACATCAGCGCCATCCCTTGTGCTTGTGGTCTCAACACACATGCCATTCTATCATCGTCTAAGGAAGACGAAAAGTGAGCCTCTGGATCCTTTTCCTAGCCTGATCTTCTCGTCGACATAAGTGATCTCCAGCTTGACTTCGCTCTCGCCACCGTATTGAAACCCCAAGGAGCCTACCTTCAATTCCGGGGCTTCAAATATGACCTGAATCCATTTACTGTCCAACACATTCAGCTTACCTGCATGGCCAACATAGAAAGAACATAACAAGAATCAGATTACATAATTGCTAGATATGCCCAAAAGGCCAAAACCTGAGACATAAAACAGCTTGTGGTCTACCTTTCAATGATACTGCACCCTCTAGGCCAAAGACGGAGAAAGACACCTTGTTCCTCACTATGTCAGGTGCTTCCACCACCTGAACCATCTCATCAGTTTTGAATATCAGGCGGCCGAGAGGCGTCCGGTAAAGCCCTCCTGGCGAGGTTGGCACCGAGCAGTACACGACCTCCCATTCTGGTCAATTGGACGAATTATGCAAAGCTGACTTAATCAAGGATGCCCGAACCATGGATAAAAGATCAAACGCTGTAATAGCAGGAGCATCAGATGTTAAATGCAACGCATGTATGGCTTGTTAACTTGTGCTCTCATTTGCGGCAGCAGGCGACCTTCGCATTCGGTCCGTTGCAAGATGGTTCTTTTACAGTGTGTTAATTGTCTGCCTGTGTCTATCAAAAAAAAAAAATTGTCTGCCTGTGCGCTGTGCCACCACAAGGCCACAGAGAAATGCAATTGATTGGGCATACAAAGCACTCTTTTCTTTTTTTACCTCCAAATATAAGCGGGGACTTGACGGGTTCGTCTATGCAGTACTTCCCCAGCTGCAGCGTGACATCAGCCACTTCCTGGTGCCCATCTTTAGGCAGCAGCACTCCTCTGTCAGTTCCCTTCACCTGTCGGTCGGTAGTACCAAGCTGAGACATCGCGTTTAACATTCCAACATAATCGCAGACATGTATGTAACTATACGAATCTGAGCCTCCGAAGAAACCAAGTTTCTCGCAACAAACGAACTGAAGCAAAGCAGAAAACATGAATCTGGGAATGGGCCAGGAAGCAGAGGCTACTGGCGTCCGTGTTACCTTGGAGAGGATGGAGTCGACGAGCTCCGGTGGCGCCCGGACACCGGGGGCGGCGGCGAGGGAGCACCGAACGGACGGGAGCCGCCGTCGGAGCGGTCGGCGGAGAGGAGCTAGTGGTGGAGTGGCGGAGGGGAAGCGGAGGGCGGGGGAGGCGGCCGCAGCGGAAGCGGACATTTTCATCGTCTGCTCTTCGTGTGGTGATAGCTGGACCTCATCCCTCACCTATTTCTAATTTCCTGTTTTTGCAACAAAATTTCCTGGGCGAGGGTTTTCCTGTCTCCTTTCAGTTCTTTTTCTTTTTAATTTTATTTTGCAACAACAAAGATACTTCTGCCCACTGAATAACATAAGCTTTTTTTCTCTCTCGAAACGTGAAGCGCTACAAAGGTAATCAATGATGTTCACTTATCATACACGTTTGTTTATCACTTAACCCAGCCAACTATAGAATAGCTAAAATACCTGAACGACCCGCAGTCTTATCTTAAGTTGAAAGTTGAAACAAGTGGTCAGTCTCGGAGCTCACCGCAACGACTGGTACATATCTGTTTCCTATATATGAAAATTTTCTTATGTATCCTTTCGAACTGCGCTTTGGCAGTTGGAACCGAGTAACCGACAGCTTGAGAGAAAATATAAGACCATGATATCAGATTTTCCATTTAATGCCCATTCCTTGTCAAAATAAGCTTGATGTACATGGTAAAACGCCACAGCTAAAAATGTGGAGAGGAAAAACTATGAAAGTAACACGAGGCTAAAGGAGTAGCAATGGCCTGTCGTGGTAAATCTGAAGCCACTGTGTTCTTGCAGCGAAAGCCTTCTCCCCACCAATTGCTATTCTGTTAATTAATCTCTCCTATTCTGTTGCTATCCAATGTACAAGGATTTCTATAACAAAAGATCTCCTGTGTATCCCTGTAGCCTCTAGCCGCCCCCAGAAGCTCAAATAAGTGTATAATTCGCAAACAAGGTCAAGAGATTATTTATGGATTCAGGGTAGAACTTCCTCGCAAACAGGTAGCAGGGTCTCTTTGCTCCATTCCATAGGCAGGGCTTCTCTGTAACCACTTTCTGCAGGGCAACAGCAAAACATATAAGCATACTTGTGATTTTTTTTATCCATCACTGGGAGAGGAACAGGGGAAGGAGGGAGGTACCTTGCTATCACTAGTGACATGGTGGTTCATGTCAATTGACTGCAGCACAGATCAAAAGGGTTTAAGGTTAGATAAGGATGCTGTGGGCAAATAACCACCTGGAAAATAGACATAAGATGAGCTAGGGAACACATACTGTTATATTCTTCAGAAGATCGAAAGTGACATCCTTTGCCCTGTAAGCTTTCGGATGCCACTTCCCTTCAGACCAGTCAACATGGGTTACAGACCAATTAGCAATTCCATCTGGGTCCATCATCTGGTTGATACAAATATGCAAATTTGCAACGTCAACAGGGCTGCGGCAGCATTATACAGATGACAAATTAATTTCAGCAACTGAAAGGTCATTGTGTACTGACATGGAATACTGTTGGCAAATAATGTTCATCAGCATAGCAGTTGCGCCCATCTTCCATGCCAGGCTGCAAGGAGGACAAATAAAAACATTGATATAGACACATGTTATGTAGCAGAGAATACATGATCGCGAAGTCCAATGTGGTAAAACAAAGGAAAAAAGGGTGAACTCAATCCATCAACAGTAATCTGTAAATTAGTTTAAACAAGAACAAAATTAATACAGGCTAATACAAGGCCACATCTATCTTTTATATCGAAATATTGTCAGTGCAGATTGGTTGCGGTATACTCTGTCCATTCCAAAATATAGGTGTGGTTTGACTCGGCACAATTTCAAAAGATTGAAAAGTTTCCTCTTTTTTTGCCTTTTTTTTTTGCGCCGCAATAGGACAAACATACATTTGCCTCCAATCCTATACTGCATAAAAGAAGTAGTAAATAAAAGACAAAATCTCACCCTGCAATGAAGCTTGAACTTAGTATAGTAAAGACTATCTGCAATAATCATCAACGCATGTTGGCGTTTGACTGAGAACCACTGAAATAGTTAAAGTCAAAACAAACTCCTCCATCAGAATGACCGCAGATTAAAAAAAATAAGCAAAGATGATTGCAAGATTACCTGTGAACCCTTCCTAAAATCAGTCTCTGTGACCTCAGGTAACATATTCTGTGAATATCTAAAATTTCCATGTGGTCCAGGATCGTAAAAGCTGATAAAAAAAAACAAAATATGATGTAAGCTGAAGGAATAATAGCCCAACACAAAACCCAGCTCAGAAATCAATGAAATCATCCAATGTAAAAGTAGAACCAAGAGCTATTAGGTAGAGATGAATTTGAGATAAAGAAACAAACTTACCAGTCAATAAAACTGAGATTTGCCCCCATCAGGTAGTCATATACATAATCAAAATTGTGCAGAGGTACACAGCTGCAAACACACAAAAGAATAGTAAAGACCTGAAAGAATAAACTGTGAAATAAAATGGGATGAAAGCAAAACCATGATATGTACCTATCAGATAGCAAAACAAAATGCTGGTTGTCAATGTCTTGTAGAGCATTTGCCAGTAGCCTCCTCTCAGCATCAACCATAGAAATTTTACCCCAAGTTACCTGCAATGGGAATAAGATCATTCAGGTTGTTACTCATCTAGCTTCTGATGAGTTCTTACAAGTATCAATCTACGAAGCATAGGAAAGAACTTTGTCAAAAACATATTGCTGCAATTAATCTGTTTTTGCTTTTTTTCACATAGCTAAATCTTCATGTGTAGAATAAAAAGATAACAGCCTAAGAGGAACTAGCTGACACTGTTAATAAGAAATAGGCACACAAATTCGAGTCAAAGAGAGCTTGAACTTGGGTAGTTGGTGTGTACACCACCTCCCACCAACTGAGCTCAGTTCCTTCTGGAACTTCTTCATGTGAAACTAGGGCCATTACCTTTTCGCTGTGTATCTCTCGACCAACAAATATGGGACTGACATGTTCTGGCTTCTCCCTCGAGGCATGAATATATATGGTATACCTTCCCTCATGGCCCTACAGAAATAACAGGAGGTCATGGAGAAACAGACTTTGAGCTAAAAGATGATGACACAATGGATTGTGATATTCCTTCAAAGATTAATGGGCCTTGGCAATACCACCTTTAAACAAAATGCTCAGGACCTATCATTAAATTATAGCTGTTACAAAATGAAGTTACAATAAATGATCCTAAATAGTAATGCAACATGTCTGCATAATAAAGGTCTTCTTACAACATCATACAAAAAGTGGCTTCAGGCTATAGTAGTTATGTAGGACTTCAAATAAGAACAGAATGCAACTCCGAGATTCAATTATGAAAGCCAATTCTGAATTCACTTTGCAAGAGCTATGATAAAATGCATGAATCTACCATCAGAACAAAAAGGGGATGTTTACCTCAAAGAACTTTTCCCACAACCTTTCAAATGGCAATGTCCCCGGAGTCAAGAACATGAAAGCTATTTTCGAATTCTTGGATCGAACAGGAGGTGTTGTTAGGATCTGTCTGAAAACAACACGCGAGGCCCTCTCCTCATCAGTCAATTCCCTGGCAGGCTCCGCAGGAAGCCAATCTCTCACAGGAGAAGTGTAATGCGGGGGAGGATACAGATAAGCCCAGGCTAGTGCGATGAAGATAAAAGCTGCAACGGCGAGTATCCACGCTCGTCTTTTTGGAGCTGCTCTCAGGCGAGGAAGTGGAACGACCTTCATGTCCTTGACGCCTAACTGCCAAACTTGATGCAGCTTCATCTATTTAAGCTTCACAACTCTCATTACTCTCGGACTCCACCAGTATCAGTGAAATATGGTCGGCAGAAAATTTCCTCTCGCTTCTACAAGTCCGTCTGCAATAGTATAACAGTTTGGTTGATCACATATACACCGGTGATTTCTACAGAGGAATCAATGTTAATGGGGGAAATTCAGTCAGTATGCACTAGTTAAACTAAATCAGATCCGATTACCCGAATACGAATGCTAGTTTACATTAGGGTTTGGGTGGGTGCTCGGTTCCGTGCATCATTAAGGGACGAGGAGGGTTGGCATACCTGGTGGGTGCTTTGTCGCCGGCGAAGGGCCCGGTGAGGGCCTGGGCAGGCGGCGGCGGCGGCGCGCGCCAAGTCGTCGCTGGTAGAAAGAAAAGGCCACGCGAGAGAGAGAGCGCGCGGGGGGAGAACAACAGAGGGAATCAGAAATCAAGGAAGTCGTGCCAAGGACAAATGCACAGATGGATTTATACGTGCCTGGGGTTCTGGGAAGGGGACGCGGCCGGCGCGGCGGCTGTGACCCGCGACCGCGACGGAAAGGAGAGAGAGACGAGGAAAGGGACGAGGCGGTTTGTTTGTTTTGATACACCACAGGAGGGCGCGCCAAAGGTGTTGTTGCCTTTCCCTCGTTTCGTTCTGAAATTTTAATTTGGCAATGCGTATTCAATATTTTTATTAGTTTTTTTTAACAACAGTATAAATGGGTTGTCACGATTGTTCCTCCACTCCTGTTTCCGGATGTCTACTTGCTAGTTGCTACACCCAACATCCTCCAAGATTTATTTCATTAAATTTTTTTTGTACTATTGTCATGATTCTTATTCCACCGCTATTTCAAGATTTTGTAATTGTACGTTTAACATCCTCTAAAGTTTATGATTGGGAAATTGATTGGACAGCCAGGATTATTCTGCCATTGCAATTTTGCCATTTTAAGGATTGTCAACGTCTTTCGATGTTTTTATAATTATAAACAGAACAAAACTATCTCTCAATTTTTTATACAATCTTTTTTAAAAAATCTATAGTATGTACGTAGACGATCACAACTTCACATACACACAGAAAAATACCCCTTTAACACAACATGTACACCCTACTCTTATGGGCACGTGTGAGAAAATAGGTATTGACAAAGTCACCACAATGGACTGCTATTGACAGAGCATTGCTACTTGATCAATTGAGTCTCGTTTGTTAATTAATACATAAATATTCTTCTCCATTGTTATCTTTCTAAATGAATTGATAGAGATCACGATTGATTAGATTTGAAAACACGTATAGTGTAAAAAAGACATGTTTGGATCACAATTGGATTTTTATAATCTAGATTATAAATAAAATTATTATAATCTAGATTACAAACTATAATAATTAGATTGTTTCAATTCCTAGAATATTCTTAATTTATGTAGAAATACTCATAAGAATTAAAAAAACAGGTTCGTGGACCGTGGTGGATTATAGGATAATTGTTAATTGGGTGTTCTGAATATAATCCACCTAATATATTACCTGTTTGGATAACTATTAGATTGTTTAGCTAATTATTAATCCAAATAGCCCTTAAAGGGAACGGCCTGGCTGATCGAGTGGTGAGTGCAGGCTCAGTACCTCCTCCTGGTGTGGTTAGAGTTTGAGTCATGAGGGACTCACTCTTTTATATGTGGCTTCGACCGCAGTGACCAGGGAAAAAAAACTCGTCTGCCCCACGTCCAAAGCACAGGTCTATGCTCAGGGTTTAGGGATTTTCTCGATCTACGTAAAAAGATCTTCTTCTTAAGCCGGAATACCGGGGTTGTCTAGCCACTACGTATCGATTTTTTTTTTTCAAATAGCCCTTAAATATATTGCTCCCCCTGTTGCACAATATTTCCATTTCTCAAGAAGTCAAATACGTTCAACTTTGACCAAATATATATAAGAGATTAATAATACTCATGATGTGTAATAAGTATAATTAGATTAATTATTGAATATATTGTTATAATACGCTTATTTGGAGATATAATAGAAAATGTGACCTATGCAAATTCTAGGTGACTTTCTTTTTGAGACGGGAAGAGTACAACGGAGGCGAACATGACCTTGATGCTTCACTTTTGTGTCGTATTTATCCTCCTTTTGGTTTTGGTTAGCGCTTCGTCAGCAAGTCGTGTCGAACTAACTTTAGATGAGTTTTTTTTTTCGAACGTGCCACTACACGTATTTCATTAAGAATGTAGACTTTATATTAGTTATGTATAAAAACTTCTTGCCCCCCATAAAACTCACACGCGGAAGGATGAAGAGACGGCTAACCGAAGCCCGAAGGAAGACGAGGGTCTTGTTTAGATTGCATCCAAATTCCAAGTTTTTTTACTCTCTCTCCATCACATTAATTTTTGGACGCGTGCATGGAGCATTAAATGTAGGTAAAAAAAATAATTAATTACACAGTTTGGTTGTAAATCACGAGACGGATCTTTTGAGCCTAGTTAATCCATGATCGGACAAAGTTTGTCAAATACAAACGAAACGTGCTACAGTGTCCAGATTATAAAAATTTACAATCTAAACAAGGCCGAGGAAAGTGAATGAACAGATGGGAAGGAAAGAAGGACGGCCAGGTGAAACAACCAGATGTCGCACACTACTTGCCACCTCGAGTGGCGAAAAGAAGGGAGTCCCTATACGTTGCCAAATGGACCTCCTCTCGCGCAAAGCCGTTTGCTTAGATTGTGGACAGACGACATGCATGTTTGTATTTTCGTGGGGGCATCTTGTTCGGGATCAGAAGGAGAAGATGACGCATCTTGTGTTGCGACGCTACACACGAGAGCACCACCGTTCTGAGCCCAACCAAACCTGGGTATCCCAACAGCGAAGCAACAGGCTTCCTGGTTTCTTCCACGCACCTCCGTCGCCGGCAGAAAGGACCGCGCGCCGGCCGCCGCCCGGGACTGAGGACACGTCATCACCCGGCACAACCAGCTTCCACATGGCACTTACTTCCACGTCCCGCTACACCAACGATAAGCCAGCGTGCGGCCGATTTGACAGGGACAGATCGGTCCGGCGTTCGGCGACCGACCGGTGCGGCGGTGCCCGTCGTGATCGACCCGAGCGGCATTCTTCCCAACCTGACAACAGCTTCCACCAGCTGTCGCGCACCTCCACTGCGCGCGCGAGACGACTCACGACTCGGGTGATCAGGTCCAGGCGAGGCGAGGCGAGGCGACGCGCGCCCGCGTCAAACAGCAGCGGAAGCAAGCTGAACACGCGCCGGTGGTGCCCGTCGTCGTTGTCGAACTATAGACAAGCGGGGCTCGCACTGCCGCCGTGCCGCTTGCGCCGCGTTCGTCAGGGATATCTGGATGGAATATGCCAACTTTTTTGTTTCTGTTGTTGTCGTTGACATTCGACTATTCGAGGACGCCAGATCATCAGGACCGTATTTATAAATATATATATAAAAGAGAAAAAAAATACACACTTGTATACGCCGTGTCAAAGGGGAAACAAAACCACATGCAAATATGCGATGCACAGACAGTTTCGTTGTCATGTACACGTACGCATATCCGTCAGAGTCACAGCTGCCGGAATCTGCAAGGCACGGAGGAGGCTGCTGAGCGTTCGACGGCTCGGCGGCGGTCGGCGCAGTCCAGGAAGGAAGTTTCCGCTGTTCGGCCTTCGGCATCGCCAGCTTTCACAAGGAACACACCTGCTGCAGGGAAGGGGAAAAAAGAAAAACGTTTCAGACCGTTTCGCGTCGCGCCGACCCGTGCTGGATGCGACAATTAGCTGTTTCTCTTCAGGCTCGCAGGTTCTGAACTTCTTCTGAAGACAAGACGGGAACGGGTCTCGACTCTCGAGTCGATAGATAACGCGTCGATCGACCCGCCACGAGTTCACGACCGTGTTCTATTCCGGGTTCCGTTAACGGTACGACGACGAGGAGAATGTTGACCGCCCATGTAATTTTCTCGATACTCCTTTTCTTACCTTGTCGTGGCGACGTCTCTACCTGTCGACTCTGTGTTCCTGCTTGCGGCTACGAGATCTGCTCCTGCCTGCCTGCCTCTGTAGTCCGTCCTTCCTCGCCTGATTTCTCCTACTGCAGAGCCGAAGGGCATGAGTTGCAGAGTCAGTCATAGCAGCATCACTGTGTGACCGTGACAAAGTCTCACGGCCAATATTGTTTTGTTAAAAAAAAAAGACGCTATTTGGATACCGGACAATTGCTGAGACGATCTTGTAAATGCACAACGCCGGCAGCGCGAACAGAGCGGGCGACTGCAAGCGTTGGGGCGCACCGGTGAGTTTCGGAGAGGCATGGCGAAAACTTGAGCAGTGGCGATTACATATGCCACAGCTGACAGCCCACAGGGGAACTTACCGTGATCCATGCCAGTTTGTCAGCTGAAAGGGGCGTCAGCAGTTGATTGCCCTGAAGGAAGCGCTTCACTCCGTTCTGAACCTGCATGGGGCCTGTGATGAGTTCAGAGACATCTGAATTCTGAACCAAAACACATACTACGCAATGCAGTCGAGAGAGGAAACCAGTAGGAGGCTGTACCTGATGATGGTATTCGCTTGTAAACGAGACGAGGCTTCTCCACGCGGATGTTGCGGGCCTCATGTAAGGTTCGAGAACCACGCTTGCTCTAGACAGGTGAGGTTCAGATGCTGCGACGACGCGGCTGAGGTATGGCCGGCAGAATCTCTTGGGTTCATGAATGAAACAGTTAAATGTTCAGAATCAGAATGGGAGTTCAGCAATGCAACCGCACAATATATACATAAGATGACAATGATGCAATATAAGAACCTGCCAATAGTTATCTGCGAATCCTCCTCCCGTCACTGTACACGCTTGGATAACGTCCCTGCAAACTCTGTACACTGCTGATGTGAATGCCACGGTAGCATTCCTCAGTGCGTCGAGATGGCCTTTTGACACTCGAACTAGTTTCTTCATCAGGAGGCAAAACATATTGCAAGTCAGGAAGACATGATTAGGCATACTATGAACGAGCAGATAATACTGACTACTGATAAACAAAAATTGGAAGATGCTAGTTCCTGCAAAAGGGCAAATGCATAATACAACTGGACAGAAGTTGAACGCTACTGAAATCCCACTAGTTTGATGCATGAGTCAGCCTGATCTGGCAGCGTAAAACACGTACTGCAAGCCAATGGGGAAGCCACATGCCATGAACCTGAAAACAAACCATACTGCCTTGATGAATACAGCAATGGAAACATCAGGCAACGAAGAAAAAAAAACTAATCTTTGTGAAACCAGGAGAATTCCTAAAACCTTTGCCAACTCTTCAGCCTTAGATTTTGCCTCGTTTTCCAACAAAGAAAGTTTGTCCTGAGCAAATCAAATCGCATGAAGCACATATTTTTCTTATGACTCTGTGAAGCACAGGATCAGCATGCTAGAGTGCAAGAGTTTGTTAATTTCTCTGCGTGTGCCAACCTGTGAATACTGAAGCCTGTCACTGAGGTCCTGAATCTTCTTTTTCTGCTCAATATTAGTTCTCTCAGCCTAAAAAGGGTGAAAATTCTGGTATAAGTTTCTGAAGATCCCAACACTACATCATATCCCAGCATATTACAGTATGTCTGTGTGTGCATGTACTTACATGCTCCAACTTGCGACCGAATTCATGCAAGCTTCTTTCAGCTTCAATAGCCCGTGATTCTAATGATTCGCCTTTCCTAATCTGGTCTTCCAAATCGTTACCCAGCCTCTCAATCTGCTTGCTTTATGAGTCAGTGTCTTTCCCATTCTGTAGGCATCAATTGTCGAAAACACGCTTCATTTACCTGCTTCTCAAGCATTGCAGTATGTGTGTTCGCCTTCATCACAGACTCATCATCACCCAAGTTCACCTTCTAATTCAACATTGTAAACGAGAAGATCAAGACCACAGGCTCACAAACAAACTATAACAAGTACATATATTGGAAGCAATTGACATTTTCAGTGATTCAGTCTAAGAAGGAGAGTTCAGATCAGACCATAGTCTCAATTACAGCAGCCTGACAAAGTCTTATATCCTCTGACCTGCAAAAGTTCTAGGGCGCCTACCAATGTTGCCATCTGTGAGGTCCTCTCCCTGACAACGCTCTCCAGCTCCGAGGTCTCCTCCTTCCTCCTGCTGATCTCATCCTCTGCAGCCAAAGAACTTTGTTCTTTCAAACGATAAGGAATCAGGCTAAGTGTTGGATCCCTTGAAGCGCTAAGAAAATTTAACAAGAAACAACGTGCAATCAATCTGCTCTTAGAAGAACCAAGAACAACCAAGTTCTAGCTACTATCTCAGTCTGAAATTTCAGGGTGCATGCGAAATTTAAAAGTGATGCCTCTTTATGTAAACAAAAAGATCCGAACAGGCTACATGCTGCAAGGCAATAACGGGAAATTCATCACGAAGGTGATTTATTGAGGGGAGACGTGTAGGCTCACCGAAGGACGCGACCTTCGATCTGAGCATCTGAATTTCCCGTTCCTGCTCTGGCGACGGAGAGGCTGAGGCCGCATCGCACAGGGCTCGAACAAAGCATAGGCAGATGGCAACGATTAGAGCCTTGAGAAGATCCATCGCTCAATTCCTCTTCTATGCACTACTACTGTTCTTCCGATAACACTCCGCAGGATTCGCAAGTAGTAGTACACAAAGTGGTTTTCTGCTCTTCTGCAGAAGCGGCAGGAGAGTTGTACTCGAATTCGCATGCTCACTCGTCAAGGGGAAAAAAACAATTTTAGTAACCCAAATATTTGACCAAATCATAAAGAACAATCTAACAATTCATCGTTTCAAATTATAAGATTTTTTAGCTTTCCAATATATATAAGTATATATCTAAATACATACGGCCTGTTTGATACAGTTTATAAGCTGCTTATGGCTAAAATAACCTGAAATCAATAGCCAAACATCACGCTTTTCAGCAGCTTATTCTAGCCACGCTTATTCCCACGGCTCTCATTTATACTAAAAAGTAGAAGCTAGATCATACCAGCTTATTTTAACCACCGTTTTTACTCTATTTGTGCAGTTTATCTGGGAAGCGCTTCCCAGATAAGCTGTACCAAACAGGACCATAGTAAATATTATATATTAAAAACCAAAATATTTATAATTTAAATACAGAGAGTACTAAGTACTATGAAATCATCTTAGATTAATGCTTCGACAAGCACCTCTGAAACGGTGCTACAGGTCGCTGCAGACCAAAGAAAGAAACCTTTCGTTCATATTTAGCATTTGATGGTTTTTATTTGTGTTTCTCCTGTAACTGTGACACCCCCACCTCCTGGAGGATTCTTTTCTAGAGGACTTTTTTGTTTTCTTGTACATAAACTCTTTTGCTCCCCCCCACTTAATTAAAAGATAGAGCTTCTGTCATTGCGTTAAAAAAATAATACAATTCCAACGTGGTGTCATGATTTAGTATATCAAGTTTAACTAAATATAAATAAAATAAAAAAGTATCGGTATTTATAATACTAAATAAATATTAATAAATTAATTATGAAATATATTTTTATAATAAATTTATTTGAGCTATAAATGTAAATATTATTATTGATTATAAACTTGGTTGAGTCACTTTAATTGACACGCAACCTCTAGTTAGATTCTTTTTGATACGGTATGAAATGTACTACCACTTAGTTGAATGTACTCCTACATGAAAATTTGTCTATCTACAACTAGGATAATTTTTTTATGAAAAAGTTTACTTAACCCCTCAACTATTGATAGTTGTCTACTTCACCTTCTCACCTATGAAATCAGGTATTACACCCCTCAAACTATTAAAAACGTCTAAATAACCTATTTTAACGGTTTTAAAGGTGGTTTTTGCTGACGTGGCGTATTTAAAAGTCTATATAACCCTCTAGCATATCAAGTATTGACTACATGACCCCTCAACTAGAAAATATGATACTATACCTTTTAAAACATCTAATAATGTACAAATGACCCCTCGGATGGTCATGTAGGGCCATTTGAACACTGTATCCCACTGCACTGGTCTAAGCACACATGCTTGCATGCAGGCCCATCGGCTGTCTCCCTCTCATATTGTTTCCAAGCTTGTGCTGCCGCCCGCTGATCATCACCTTGTTTCCTATCCCACCTCATGCACTCCTCAACGACATTTAGCACATGTACTACGCCCACACCCTTGTCATCCGGGCCCTCTCACTCTCGCTCCCACATCCTCGTCTCCTCTTGCTTTTTTCTCCTATGGCTACCTAAAAAACTGAAGGACGACTAGATGGATGAGGATGTGGAGGGTCTAAACGACGACGATGTAGGCGTGGTGCTTGAGCTCAATGCTATTAACGAGTGACAGGAGGTGGACCAGGAAACTAGATGTCACATGGCTCGTTGGGTGGTGAGTCAGTCTAGAAATAGCAGGAAGGTGGAGACAATAAATTAGCATACGTGCAAGTATGAATATTTAGCCAAATTTATTGATACGGTGGCCAAATAAAATGCTACAAGACCATCCGGCGAGTCATTTGAGCATTATTTGATGCTTTAAGGGATACAATATCACGTGTTATAGTCGAGGGGTCATGTAGTTAACTCTTGATATGGTAGGTGATTATATAGACTTTTATTATGCCATGTCACCAAAACCATATTTAAAATTGTCTCAGGGAGTTATCTAGATGGTTTTGAATAGTTTTAAGGAGTAAAATAACTAGTTTATAGGTGAAGTGTGAGGTAAATAACCACTAATAATTGAGGGGGCTAAGTAGATTTTTTTAACGTTTTTTAGTGTCGACGATGGAGCATACAAAGCGCTTTCTGCCGGTGTATCTAGCGACTGCATGTTTGCCTCGTCTTGTAGTACTTTGCCGTATACGTGGTAAAGGTTGCTGCGCACGCGTGGCGTTTGCGGCAGCCGGCATGGGAAGCCCATGCCACGTCGTGCACAAGCATGTACTGTACGACCGATGGGACTCGGGTCACGGTGACTTGACTCACCTCACTGAAAAAAAAAACTTTCGAGGTGCTTCGCGCATAATTGGCCGAACCCATCACGACCCGACCCTTAGGCCCAATTAGGCCGCAGCTTAACCTGCGCGGCGCCGCGCCGCCGTCCATGCGCTGCGCTGCCCAAATCCGTCCCTCTCTCCTCCCGTCACTTGCTCCGGCCACTGTACCTTCCGCGCCAACGCCACAGAGAAACCGCTCTCGAACCGCCCCCGCCGGCCGCCCGGCCTCTCCTCTCCCCGCGTAGCGCGCGCGGCCGCCGGCGACTTGGAGGTGGAGGCCTCGTTGGACTACTCGGTCGGTGCCCGACTGCCCGTCCAATTGGCCGCGGTGCAGGACCGGAACGCGTGGAAGCGGGAGCATGCGCGATGCGGGCGTGTGCGGGGGGAGGAGTCGATGGGCAACCGCGGCGAGCGGCGAATGCAGAGCCCGGCCCGTCTCGTCGCTCTCCTCCCCTCCGCCTCCCGCCACGCACGGAATCTCCACGCGGGGGCACGTGCGTCAGTGCGCGGCCGCCGCGCGAATTGGCGGCCTCGAGGGTCTGGTCGTTCATGGCGCGTCGAATTTGTTCGCGTGGGTTTGTACTTTGTAGCCGCCGCCTGGGGCCCGAGCGCGTCGAAAGCTGTGGGTGGCGACGCTCGGCGAACCGGTCATCCAAAGCTGCGAACGGACTGGCAACCGGCGGTGAGGAGGCGAAGTGGCGAACGTATAGAGCTTCTCCAGGTGTGTCTTGCACTCGCCCTACTCTTTAGCACACGGGATTGCTGGTAGGATTACACTATCGGAGCGGGCCTGAGAATCGCTCTCGTTATGCAGAATTACAGCTACAGACGATCAGACACGCAACTTTACTTGCTTGAGGCGGATTGTGTTTTATGGGATAGCTCATAGCTGGAGGCATTGTTGGGTTATTTATAGGCCCAATTAGTTGCGCAGAAGCTGCATAATGTAGGATCCGTCTCCAGGTTTCACCACTGTTACAAAAAACCTTACGCGCTTGCTGCAAGCTGCAATTGGGTCTCAGTGGTCAGATTGAGCAACATCCATGTTCTTAATTAGTATGATTCTTATGGGAAAGTGGGTAACTAATTGATTGATTAGGATCTGTTAGAGTAAACTGCACACTGGATCAAGTTAGTACATCAAGTTAGTGAGACCGGAGCGCAACTAACTCACGTGTCTTTTAATTTAGTAGCCACCATTTGTACACCGGATGCATTTTTTAGTGATTGAATATTGGATGAGGAGAATCAGAACAAATTATAGATGGATGACATTCATAGAGGAGTAAGGTCGATTAGGGTTGTCAGTTAAGTGGTTGAGTTGGAACACCAGTGTCCATTATGTTACGTTGATATGTAACTCATATCAACAACATATCATAAGAGCATCTCCAAGACTTTCCAAAACCCACTCCCAGTCTTGTTTTTTTGGCAAGATTGAAAAAAAAATGCTCTCCAACAACTCCCTATCTCAACTCCCAATCTTTCCGCACTTGGGAAAATCGACCTGACCGCACGGAAATATAAGCACGTGTATCTGTTCGCCAATCTGGAGGTGAAAGGACGTGGGGAGGAACAAGGAGAAAGACAGGGTTCCCAATGCAAATATACAAGAGAGAAAGAAAGTATAAAAGTGGTTGGATGCAAAATTGACATACATTTGAGGAGCGAGATTCTAGAAACTGTTGGAGGAACTCATCAAATATGCTCCTAATTTTTTTACTCACTTGGAAAACTCGTTGATTTACCAACTGATGTTTTAGGAACTATTGAAGATGCTCTAACCAACTATTCTTATGTGGCTTTGAAGAATAAGTCATTCCGATGTTTCCAAATCATCCAAGCACCAAGAATTATCAGTGAGTGCAAGCCCTCTTTTAGTGGCTGAGCCACGAGGGAATCAACCTTAATCCACCAAGCACTGAATAGAGCATTCTTCCATAGTAGATATAATCCCATCCTTATATATATGGGGCGAGATGACCTTTAAGAAGCCAATCACTAGAATTAAGGAAATAGCTGACAACTCAATCTAATCTCTAACTTAACAAGAACACCTCCAACGTAACGCCCGGTACTGTTTACATGAATAATACCTATTATAGGGAGGTCCAATGCTGACTCTTCCTCCATCGCTTGGGTCTAGTAGTCTGGACATCACCTCACATACTGCTATTTAGGTGGTAGGGATATACAACCAGTCAACCACACCTCCACGGCTCCACCAAGCTAGGCTTAGTTCCTAGTTCATTTATTGTTATTGATAATTAGATTACTGCTGTTTGGAGTCTCATCAATATAGTATAGCATAAAAGCCTAAGTAACTCACCGTCTAATAGTCTTGTTGGCAGCGTTTTAGTGGTGCAGCAAGTTTTGATGCTATATAGTTCTATAACCTATGCAGAATGTCCTCAGCTTTCTTCTATTCTTCTTCAGTGAATCAAATACCTACTCTCCTGGACTACATGTGTTTCCTCCATTTCTCTACATAGAAATGTCCAACCATCTTAGTATATTCACATAAGGCTAGAGCATGATGATTCCTGCTTTCTAGTATAAATAAGAAAGAAAAAGCAGATGCAT